CAAAAAGTACTCGACTACATCACTGCTTGTTCGCCTATGGTTTCTCCTAGTTCCTTTCCCTCAAGTTTAATCACTCAGGTCTGTGTCATTTGTTTCATTATTACTCTTTGATTCAAGTTGTTCATGTGTGCTTTCTAACAGATTGAAGCTTCTCTCAGAAATCTTCAAGAAGTAAGTAACGTTATTAGAGGATATGTTTCAAGACATTGGTTAAAGAGATGAGAATATTCAAACTGGGCCAAATCCCTTAAACAAGGCTTTAAATACCTGGGCCTTCTCCCTTGTAGACTCTATCAATTATTATTTTCCAGGAGGTAAAAGGAAATATTCAACATACTGAGTTTTACCTGTTTCTGTTATCGATGTGCTCCATCTGATCAAGGCAGGACACGGTCAGACTCAATGTCACTGAATTGGTTTACGTCACGTTTTTCTATCTACAGGCAACCTGGGGACATCCACCTGATGAACAATGATAGCACCCTCACTCAGCTGACACTTACCCTGACAGACTGCATGACACACACAGAGACGCCCACAGTCACACATGCAACTCAGGCACTGGCAGATTTACTCAGGTGCTTAAGGAAAGACGGAAATAACGGCATGAGTATGAGGTGGATCTCCTAGACAACTCAAACATTTGATAACGCAAACTCAACTGGCCCTCGTTTCAGTGAATTTTTTTTCACGGGCTTGTTGTTCATTGCAAACCCGTCAAAATCTATTCCAAAACAAGTGTCGATGGCAGTGTTATGAAGCAAGTCTAGGGAATAAACTGAATGACTAAATGCTCAAGAGCCCAAAATGCTGGGGTGGATGTATACCCCCTACCCCCCCATGATAGCGCCTCCCCCCTTGCCAAAACTACTGCGATATAGTCTACACTGAGTAAAATATGCAAGTATACGGCCAGGAGCTGTAGTTTACAGCAGCTGCAAGTTGAGAAAATCTCAAAAGATGATTTTTCTTTGACTAATATCTCCAGACGGGATCAGCTACCCAGCCCACTTCCCTTCCAGACACTCATTACAACCCTCCAAGCCTTGCTAGATGTATTTCACAGGCTTCCTAAGCCATTGGTCGGACACAGTCACCGCGGCCATCACGGATGCTCGCTTCGCGGGCACTCAAGGCAGGAAGGGCTCGGTAGATCTCACAGCAAGCAAGAAATGTTACTCAACACTGGGCTAGGTGCATTGCACAAGGCATTCAGGTAGGGTTGGGCTCATCATTCAGAAGAGAGAGATTGAGGAGAGAAGGAGGAACATTGATCACTGCCAGTCCAAGGATGGATCCAGGCTTATTAAAATACAGGCATACGATGGATCACACAGGGCCATGTCCCCCCTCTAGCCCTTTGTATTCTTTTGTTTGAATGAACCCAGATCCGCAACTGACAGTTGCATTTCAGAAAGACCAGTTTAAAGAGAGAAAATCTTGTTTGAAGCCAAATCTACTGAGACTACATCACGGTGCTTTCAAAGGTAGCTTGGGTATTAAGGTCGGGAAATTCATTTCAGTCAGAGTGTTGGAAAAGTGGATGTGATATTTTTATTGGGGAAGGGATTTTATGAAGTCTGGACTGTGGTAAAACTGTATGATCTAATCTGTATAAAGGCATGGGGGGCGTCCTCGTCTTCCAGGGGTGTCACTCACTGGATTTAGTTACAGTTTGGGCACATGGTATGAGTCAATGTGCAGTACTGTGCAAATAAGTCGTGCAGTCATGCATTTGGGGGGGGGAAAGGTTAATTCCATTGTAATATTGACCAAATCCCATTCACTGAAGAGGTGCAGTGTGTGTTTGTTCAAGTGTGAATATTTGAAAGTTGGCCCTGCATCCTGGATCAGAAAAGAGAGTAATGCACTGGCTGTCATCTCTGATCTACACCTGAGGCAGACATGAATGAGTTCCCCATGTACAGATATTATTAAAATCCCCCCGTCGCCTTTCCCAAGGTTAGCAGCAGCTTGTCTGAATGACCCAACTACAACTGAGAGTCAGTTCACTGCACCAAACTCCCAAGATACCAAGGCCACGGACGCCGGACTGAGCTGTCTGATACAATTCCTCTTGCAAGCTGTGGAAGGGACGTGCATCCCACTGGTTATGGTAGCGCGTGGATGGCTTTCTAATGAATGTATTTTTCATAAATAAAAACTTGCGAATTTTAGATTTCAGTGAGTGGACAGATTGTGCTGTGAGCAAAATGGAAATGCTAGTGATTAGCAGTGGCATATCCAGGTTTTGGGTCAAAGGGGGCGGGGGCAAAGATTGACAATCTAAATTTTTTCATCCTTAAAAATTCCTCATTGCCCCCCCCCCGCAATGTGCAGTGTTGTAGTTGAGACCAGGCACAAGACCAGACACAAGACCATGCACAAGACCATGCACAAGACCAGGCACAAGACCATGACACAAGACCAGACACAAGACCACGCACAAGACCAGGCACAAGACCA